CATTAAGCACCAGGGCAGAAAACTCACTACTAGACTGGATCCCAGTTGATAGTCGCCTCTGCGCTATGAGGCTGAACGGCACAGTGAGAACTAAAAGGAATAGTGAGACTCGCCGTTGTCTCTTTGTAATCTCTGCTTACGCACCCACTGACTGTAGTTCGGATGAAGTGAAGGACGAGTTCTACCATAAACTGTCTAACCTCCTCTCGAAAGCCAAACGTTCGGACGTAGTGGTTGTTGCAGGTGACCTCAACGCACAGGTGGGTAGACTGAGTGAGGCAGAAAGGCACTTAGGTGGCACTTTCGGAATCCCAGCTGAACGTACAGATAACGGTGATCGCCTATTACAACTATGCTCAGATAACCGCCTATTTTTAGCCAGCACAAATTTCAGACATAAAGAAAGGCACTGTCTGACCTGGCGTCCACCGAGCTCGACTCAGCGATGGACACAGATAGACCACATTGCTATTAGTCATCGCTGGAGAGGATCGGTGGAAGACTGCCGCTCCTTCTGGAGTACGTGTTTGGACAGCGATCATGCGTTGGTCCGAGCACGTATATGCCTGCGTCTCAATGGACGTAGAAAAAATTTGGCAACAAAACCACTACGAGTTCTGCTGGACAACGAAAACACCAAAGCCGTGTTCAGTGAGAAGTTGGCTAGGCAGTTATCGGAACAAAAGACTGTCACTCATCCAGAAGAAGCTTGGTGCCATCTTCAGTCTACTGTAAAAGCAGCACTGGAGACTGTAGCCGACTCCAAGATAATGGCTAAAAAGAGCCAGTGGATATCAGCAGCTTCTTCCAAACTAATGGATGCACGTGAATGCATCCCTGCAGGCTCTGAGTACAATGAAGAGCGAGCGCAACTTAAAAATAAACTGACGAAAAGTCTGCGCAACGATCGTGAACAGTGGTGGGCAGCAAAGGCTAAAGAGATGGAAAAGGCAGCGGCGATCGGTAACAGTAGACAGTTATTTAGACTTATTAAGGAGACTGGGGGGAAATGGTCAACAACAGTTAGTGAGGTTATAGCGGAGAAGGACGGATCGGCGATTCACTCGCAGGGAAGGCGACTGGGACGATGGGCAGAACACTTTGAGGAACAGTTTAACTGGCCTCCAGCCACCATTGCGCTGCCCGCTATCCAGTCGGACCCTGAATGGGACATAGAGACAGGTCCCCCAACACTAGAAGAAGTCGAGAAAGCGGTAGGTAGCCTGAAACGGGAAGGGCAGCAGGACCAGACGGACTACCTGCTGAGGTATACAAGAATGGTGGTAGAGTTCTCTTAGTCAGGCTAACGGAAGTGTTAGCCAGTATATGGGAATCAAATACGATCCCCTCCGACTGGTCTAAGTCACTGATCATCCCAGTCTTCAAGAAAGGCGAGAAGTCCTCTTGTGATAACCACAGAGGAATCAGCCTGACAAACATAGTGTCTAAGATCCTAAGTTCTATAATTCTCCGACGCCTGAGTGGAGCTCGGGAACAGCAAGCCCGAGAAAACCAGGCAGGCTTTAGACCTGGCCGTGGATGTATCGACCAAATATTCACACTGCGCCAGGTCCTGGAACATAGGCATGCTTACAGACGCCCGACAATAGCTGTATTTCTCGACCTGAAGGCGGCATTTGACTCCGTTGATCGAGAAGTCTTATGGCAGTGTCTGTCACTGAAAGGCGTGCCTAGTAAGTACATCACCTTATTGAAAGCTCTCTACTCGAACACTTGTGGGCATGTTAGAGCCTATGGTGAGTTGTCCAGGGAGCTATACTCATCAAGTGGTGTCCGTCAAGGATGCCCACTATCCCCATTCTTATTTAATTTTATCATAGATATTCTTATGGAGGTTTCCCTCTCGTCACCTAATTACAAAGACGTTGACCGGACCACAGGTGAATTTTCCTTAGATCTAGAATATGCAGATGACATAGTCCTGTTAGGTGAAGACGCTGACAAGATGCAGAGTCTTCTGAACACTTTGAGTGGGAATTTGAGAATGTTTGGGATGCGATTTTCACCACCCAAATGCAAATTTTTGCTCCAGGACTGGTCTTCAGCGGTACCGCGGTTAACAATAGAGAGTGAAGTGGTTGAGTGTGTTGACCACTTCACTTACCTGGGAAGTAGGATCAACCCGGTGGGTTAGTTGCCGATGAGATTTCTGCACGGATACAAAAGGCTCGATTGGCTTTTGCCAATTTGCGCCACCTATGGCGCCGCCGTGATATTCGTTTGTCTATTAAGGGTCGCGTGTACTGCACAGCAGTCCGCTCTGTTCTACTGTATGGCTGTGAAACATGGCCATTGAAAGTGGAAGACATGAGAAGGTTACAGGTATTTGACCACCGTTGCCTTCGTAGTATAGGACGTATTCCGTGGTGTCACCATGTGAGTAATGCAGAAGTTAGGTGTAGAGTTTTAGGGAGAAGAGGTAAGTCAGTCGACGAGGTTGTGAACCTTCATCGACTGAGATGGTTGGGACACGTACTACGTATGCCTAGTCACCGATTGCCTCGTCACACAATGTTGGCTGAGGTGGGTTCAGGCTGGAAAAAGGCCCGAGGTGGCCAGACTAAAACATGGCACCAATGTATGAAGTCTCTGACTGTTGGTTTAAGCCATGTAGGACGATGCAGACTAGGTGGTTGGGGTCCACGGGACAAGAGGAACCAGTGGTTGGAGACCCTAGGTGATATGGCTCAGAACCGAAGTCAGTGGCGCAGATGTATACACACATTATCCTCATCTTAACAACGCTATACCGAATCTCACTATTTTGTCACTCCTCTTTCCTTTCTTCTCATACTTTATATTTCTTTTGACTGCATTCACTTATCTTCATCCTTCACCTCACTACCTTTTTACTTGATGTGCTGATATGAGGTGTGGCAACTCGGACCGTTACGCAGTAATGCCTGGTCCTATGTTGATAATGATGATGATGATGAAGAGTAATTGATCTAAAATAGCCTTCGAAAGGTGTAGCTTAGACTGTCCAAGTTTCATTGGTGCAAAACAGAATTACTGATACAAATTAAAGATAAGTAAATTTTACTATGACTTCAAAAATGACTCAACTTGATATTCATCTTCTTCAACTTTTGCTTGTTGTGTCCGTTGCACTCATGCAAGCACCAAAACTAATGATTTTTAGAGTTCTGATAAATTCAAAGGTTCTTTCTATTATGAGCTAACTGCATTCTGATGATAGTGTCAAATAAACGGAAGAATTAACTGTTATTGGTTTCTTCAGTTTATCTTGTATTCCTTAAATAAAAACCAGTATATCCAAATTCTAAGGTTTTCATTTATCGTCCTACTATCTAAAGTTGATAAAGTACTGTGAGAAGACAGTACTATATTTTATTAGGCAACATGGTACTGATATTGTTACTCGTATTATCTCGTCGTTGACTGAATTGAACTGACCGGCTTCTTTTTCTATATGGACTCGGCAAGAAGTGGCTATCGTAGCTCGGTGGTCTAGTGGATAATGATCTGGCATTCGAAGCTATCGACACCGGGTTCGAATCCCGGTAGGCACAACAATACTCACTGGGAGGCAAATACATCCAGATTGCGAGTCCCAAATAGGACGAAATGCGCATCCTGAGTTCCACTGCTAGCCCTATATCCATCATTACTGTATAATTAAAAACACAGGTAATATCGAGGCATTCACTCAGGAACCCATGTGCAAATAGAGACTGATCAATTCGGTCCAATCAGCGACGGTATAATACAAGCAATGACTCTGAAACTATGACTGTCGTACAAGAAGTGGCTGTCGTGGCTCGTTGGTCTAGTGGATAATCCCCTGGTATTTGAAGCTATCGATCCCGAGTTCGAATTTTGGTAGGGACAACAACACTCACTGGGAGGCAAGTACATCCAACTGACGAGTCCTAAACAGAATGAAACACTTGTCCTGAATTCTACTGTTAGCCACTATCCACCATTAAAATATGTTACTGTCTTCAAAATGAATTGTTCCCTAAGTTGGAGTTTTAGTTATCAAACGTTTCAATATCTTGATATTAAAACGTTTAATAATGAAAACACTAACTCAGAAAACACTCCTCTCTAAATATCCCCATTCACAGCTAAACATACTCTGTATTAGTAGTTAAGTACAGTTCAAATTGTCAGCAGCTAGAATGATAAATAGTCGTTGTAAGGACCAACGTGGTTATTTTCAAAAGTGATCGTTTTAGGATTTAATCATGGAAAGATAAGTGGGGTTCCACTAGTGAGCGGTTGTAGGACAAGAAATAATTAGAAGTAGAATTCACCATTGGCTGACATCGATTGGGGAACCATTGAAAATCTGGGAGTACTGGACAGTTGTTTCGGCCTAGTATGAGACTCCTCAGCAGTGCTCACCCACCACCCGGCTAGGGATCGAACTTAGGACCTTCAGGTTTCACGATGGACACGTTAACCATTCAGCTACTGGGTCGGTTTCCAGTGCTTCACAATTTCCAACTTTTGTCGATTCACAACATAGCGCGACTATCACCAAAGATCTACAGTTGGCATCCGCTTCGCTTCCGATTAGTCGACTCCACAGGTCACGGCTTCTCATTAGAGTTCCGTGATATCCATCTGGAAGCAAGAAATATTTGTTTGTTTCCCGCTCATTTCCAGTGTTTTATCTGTTTCTCAACATTGTGTGAGTGTTTTAAAAACACCTACTTGACTATGAAGAATATCGAGATGAACTGTATAGTTCGTGAACAGTTTGATTCAAATTATTTACAATATGCTGGCTAAAGTTGTCGGGATGAACCTGGTATGAAATATTTTTTCGAAAGGCAAACTAATTGTGCTTTATTTAAACCACATTCATCTGGCTGGTAAGTGGCTTTCTACTACTTATATTACTCAGTAATATATTTCTGTCTCACTCATATCCTTGGATATTTGTATAAATTACAACCTTTTCACTTGATTTAGAGTAAGTAAAATAATTTTTCCTTTATTTTGATTAGATTGATTTTGATCGTACAAAACATTTATCACCAGATTCGATTCAAGCAAGACAAATGAAACGAAAACAATTGTTAATCACTGCCGAGCGTAAACGAGCTGAAGCGAAAAGTTTAGCTGAAGCAGAACGAGAACGTTTACGTCTTTTAGAAGATTCAGAAAGAAAATCTGCAGAAAGACGTAAAGCAGAAGCATTAGCTGTTGAAGCTGAACGTGCAGCGAAACGTGCTGCACGAGAAGAAACCAAACGACAAGTGGTATGTATTCTAAAAATGTATAGTGTAGATATAATTGAATCATATGTACAATTGTCATTTTACTATGTTTTAACGTTGTGTCCATATACAGTGGGTTCGCTTTTTCCTTGTTCATACTCATCAGTAATAAGATTTATTTATAACTACCACAAAAAGCACTTATGCATCTTCCTGGATTGCAACTGGGACTTCCAGTGCCACAGCCAGTGAATGTGCCACTAAATTATTCGGTTAGCAATCATTTACTCTGTTGGATCTACAAAAACCAATCAATTTGATGTATTCACTTGTGCAAGAAATAACTAGGAGCTGAGGAATACAACGACGACTACTGTAACTGTAATGTTGGATGGTGCTTATTAGAATTTTGATTTTGAAAACACTAGCATGGAATCTGACCCGTTTAGCATTCGCCAACCGGTGAAATATCTAACTATCTATCAAAGGACGAGTATACTTCACTGCAGTCTGTTCTCTCCTATTATGCGGCTGTGATATGGTCATTGAAAATAGGAGATAGGAAGTGGATACAGGGTTTTGATCATAGATGTCTTCTCAGCATTGCTTGCTTTTGAGTAATGTTGAGGTCAGGTAAAGGGTACTGCTCAACACAACCAAGTTGATTGATGACCTTGTGAACCTACATTGGCTTAGATGGCTTAGATATATGTCGTGCATGGTGATTCACCACCTCCTTCGACATGCCATGCTACGGGAAGTTAGATCAAGTTGAAAGAGGGTTGAGCGTGGTCAGACCAAGTGGGTGAAATCTCTTACTGCCGATCTGAGCTGTGTAGCTAGTGATTCACTTTTATTCGACTTGATTCTCTATATTATTCTTTATCAACTAAAAGGTAAACAGTTGTATGAGGTCAGATTTTCATGTTTCCACATATGATATGGATAAACGACATTTCAGCGAAGAAAAATTTCTTTCCGATGAATCATCTTCAATAACTGTACATTATTAATCATAGTTACAACTATATATATATAACTAATGGGTCAATACAAGGTCATCGAAAACGATCAATAAGGTCACAAGGTGATAACCGTTAGAAGGTCAAATCAAGGTCATCAAACATTGCTTATAGAATTATCGTAAATAAACAAAGAAATGAATAAATTGTATTAGGGAGATAACGACCAAAGCAAAATAAGAGATTGAATGTATCCTTTTTGAAAATAAAAAGCAGGCTTACACTTCTGGGTGGCGAATACTTACTCGCTTCGAAATATTTGCCTTCAACTTATAAATAACTTTGAAAGAAGGGTCTCATGGAGTAAAGTGATGAGAAATAACCAAATGCTCAAGAATTGAGCTGTTGATGACTTTACATCATCCTTTAGACGACAGCCATGCAGAGTAGTGTTTGGAGATGCGTTCGTACAGTCTATCTAACCAGCTACACAAAAGCAGGAGACTTGGTAAATACACATGGAGGAGCGGTGGTTTATTCTTTATATACGCTCAAACCACTTGTTGACCAGAGAAAACAATCCGAATCTGAGTGGAAAAAAAGTAGATTCTTCAGTATCTCTGCCAATACATCTCCCTTGAATTCAATACTCATAAACACTATCCCTTCATAAAAAAGTAGGGGCTTCTTCTTTGAAATTCTTAGACCTCATATTCCTCTCAATAAGTCTTGAAGGATAACCATTCTTCAATAACACTCTTCGAAGTACTTCCAGCTCCTTATTTACTCCATCATCCTTACAACTACTTCTAATTCGTGTACATAGTGAGTAGAATTAGATTTCATTTCTTAACTAGTGGAATTCAGCTTTGAAAATGAGTATGTTGACCATTCCAAGTTTGTTTGTCTGTAAATCGATCTCCCTAGGGAACCATCATGTCTTCTCAATTGAACGTCCAGGGGAATTTAATTAACTAATGACATTCATTAAACTTTTATAGAATTTCTTCAAGGTTACTACCCTCCTCACAGATGATGAAAGTCTCATCCATGTATCTCTTATCCAGATGGAATTGCTTGATCAGTGAACGTAGTTTACTGTTTTTAAGATAAACCATGAAGTAATCAGCTAGGAGAGGATACAATGGTGAACCCATTGCTACCTAATCCGTTTGTCGATAAAGTTCATTAATGAATCTTCTATATTGAAGGTATATCGTAAGACCGAATCCTTCAGGTGAGAACCATCACATGATTTGAACATGTGTCCAGATAATTGAAAATTGAATGTTTCAGGTCGATAGCTGCTACCTTGACGTGATGGTCGGGCTTCCATATCACAATAACCAAATGAGCTTCTGGCGGAATTCCATCTGTTCCTGCTGCTTTCCAGGCTTTAACCACTTTATGGCGTTCAGGACATCTGCTTTTGTCGGAGGGTTTATGTTCACTGATAGTTCTGTGGCTGGGCTGTTGGTAGTATTTCTGGCCGAGATGCAGGTGGTGGTGGTCGATTTGAGAGTTTCTTGAAGTGGTTAGACCATCGTTTCCCTAATTTCTCCTCTTTAGTGACTAAGTTTCCTTCACTATCTTTCATTAGTTTCATTTGTGTTGATCTCTTCCCGGATAGTAACCTGGTTATTTGATAGAATGTTGTCAGATCTCTCCTACCTGTAGCCTGTTCTGCTTCAGTGTGTTGTAGAAGTGTCTTTTGTCTTTCTGTACACTTTTCGTCACTTCTTTGTCCAGTGTACTGTTTTATAGGTTGTGCTTAGTTCCTCTTTTCGTTGTTCATCCTTGTACTACACTGCACTGGTTCATCTTCTGCTACATCATCTTCCTCTATCAGCTTCCATGTGTTCGTGGAGATCCATTCCAAGGTTTAGGTTATTGTTTACTGTAACTCCTTATTATCGTCTAATAGATTCCCACAACTTTTACTAGATTATTTCTATTTCATCGTATTGCATGTTGATTTTCTAAATTGATTTGTGACAAATTCGATCGTTAAGCCAATGATTACAAGTACTATGTAGATAATCACTGACAGTCTACCTTCTAGTTTATATTTTCATAATTTGTACCCAGTCTACTTATAAACATATAACTTGGTGATTGTAGTTTACGTTATAATATTTTAATACACATAAAAGTCAATCTAATAGTGGAGTACTGAAACAAGTATATAGTTTTCATTGTTTCTGTTTATTGGTAACCATTGGTTATTGTTATTGTTATTTGAATTCCCCTGGAGCTTGAACATTGAATTATTGATTACTATTTAATGTTGTTGTTTTTTTTTTAATATTATCTCATCAAAAACAAACAGGCAATAGATCGTTGTAAAAGAATTAAAGAAGAATTATTGAAAAAGAAAATATCCCTTGAAGAGTATCGTCGGATAGTGGCACTTCGGAAAGTGGAAGGTATACGACTAATGACTTTCCTGTTAGCTAAAATACAAGTAAGTTGTTGGGATGTTGCATACATACACATACATGTGCTTTATATCTTTATTATTCTATAAGGTTTTAATAATTATCTTTGAAGTAGTTTACTGGTTTAAGCATTTATAAAGAGCTAAAACAATAGCACACTTCTCTATACCCCTGTGTCTTCGGATGTTGGCGGCATTGGTTTTTTTTTTAGTTCAGTGATCAGACAGTCAATTCTAAATCAGAAACTTCTGAAAAAGCAGTGTTTGACCAGTTTCAAGTAGATGACGCTTGGAGTCTATAGTCATTCACCCAAGTTGTTAAGATTCACCCTGGGTACCTCGATCATAATTAACTTTCTATAATCTGGACAGCTGTAAAGTGTCAACCACCCTCTCATACCTATTTCGACATTCATATTCCCTCTGTTAACTATCAACCTTTCACATCATCACCTCCTAATGTTTCTTTACATCCTTCGATGAATATTATTACGCATCATTTTTAACTTTATCCACCTCTACAGCTTTTGATAACAATTTAAGTCCAACGAACAGCATTTCTGGTCTCCTCAAACTGTGAAGTGTTTAGTAGTATTTGGGAATCAGATATGATATTTATACTGGGTGATGATTGAAGGTGAGATGAAAATCTGAACCTCAGCTGGATTAGAACCAGCGACCACCGGATATGATATTCTCTAATTTTTCTTCTTCTAAAAAAAGGGAAAGAAATTTTCCCAAGATAACCATAGGAGAGTTAGTCTTATGAACATACTGTCTAAGATCCTAGGTTTTCGAATCACCAAATGCATAAATGAAGCTTAGAAACGGTGACCTTGGAATAACTGGGCAGGTTTTAAAATCGGCAGTAGGTCTGTCAGCCAGGTCTCACTTTCCTCCAAGTCTTAGAATACAGGCATGCTAACTGGATCTTGACAACAGCTAAATTGCTTGATCTGAATACAGAATCTAATCCTATCAATCAGTAGGTGTGTTGATAGTGTGTCTTAATACAAGGAACGGTCTTTAGATAGACCATTCTGTCTAGCATCTATGATCAGCTTAGAGCTCATGTTGAAGTATAAGATAAGTCGTCTATATCGAGTTTTGTTCATCAAGAATGTTTATTCTTTTGTAATTTTGTTGGTGGTGGTTGGCAGTGGAGCCTAGAAAGCCCGTTTTATCCTGTTTCGGACTCGTTGGCTGGATGTGCCTCTATTGATAACTTATGTAGGTCTTCCTCATTTCATCTAACTTTACACGAATTGACCTTGTCACAAAAGGCCCCTTAGTCAACCTAGTGTATCCAGATAACATAGCCTTGTCAAGTAGAAATACTGATCAAGCACAATTTTTTGGACACATTGAGTAGCAATATGATAATGTTTGGAATGCATTCCTCACCATCCTAATGCTTATTGTTACTCCAGGACTTGTATGTGTTGTCGTTCCATCTAACAATTAGAAACTGAATCGCTGAAGCTTGTTGACCATTCCACTAACCTAGAAGTTTTGATCAGCACTGGTGGATCAGTAGCCCATGAAATCTCTGCATGGATACCAAAGGTTCACTTGGCTTTCGCCAGCTTACGCCATTTATGGCATGGTCATGTTATCCGATCACCTATAATAACGGGTCGAGTGTACTAAAATCCACTTCCTCTCTGTTATGCTTTATGGTTCTAAAACGTGGCCATTCAAGGTAAAGTACATGAGTCGGCTTTAGATGATTGACTACTGTTGCTTTCGTAGCATTGCCTCTCTATCAGTAACGTAGAAGTCAGGCGTAGAGTTTTAAGCAGAAAACGAAAGTCAGTTAATGAAGTTGTGTTACGCATACTTAGCTACTGTATGCGTCATCCCACGATGTTAACTAAATGACGTTCAGAATGGACAAAGGTTAAAGGCGACCAGAATAAAGCATATCATCAGTCCTAGTGGAAACAACATCACTCCACACTGGGGTGCAAGTACATCCAGCTGACGAGTTTCAAATAGAACGAAACGCGCATCCTGGATTCCTCTGCTAACCACAACCAAGCAAATTGACAAAATTATTTAGTAAGTATTTAACCTGACCACACAGTATCATAGACAAAATTCTGAACCTATCAACTCTTTACATCATCGGCCAATGATGTGGAACGTTGATTTCGATTTTAGCTACTTTTTGTCAAATATTATTGCTTTTTTTGTCATTTGGATAAAGTAAGAGTTATCTTCAGAATAAAGATTGTCCGTATCACCATTCACATTTGTTATTACCCCGGTCCTCACTTGTTAATATTCTTGTAGTGACTTTTTGATATATCCTTAGTTGTATATAGGTTGATCCTTATACAATAACCTTAAGTCTCCACACTTGACGATCGCTCAGTTTCTGGATAAACGGAAAAGGTGGTCTATTGCAACGTCAACCAATCTATATACAGAATACAAGAGTTTATATATATATATATATATATATATATATATATATATATATATATATATATATATATATATATATATATATACTGATTTTGGCTATTTCTAGGCCTTACTACATTTAAGTGTCTTATTGATTTTCGTCTCCTCAACCAACCTGATATTTACACGCTGGTTCACGTGCTTTCTCTCGAAACTTTGAAGTGGGATGATTGGTTGTAAAAGGCTGCAAGAATATACGGCTTCTTATGTAGATTTTGTCAATCTTACTGTAACAAGATTATGATCAGTATTCATATTGTTAGATGTTATAAATAAACGTCAACGCGTAACTAAGTACATGATGTTTCCTACCGAAATGTTCAATCAGGCAGCCTATGGCGGATTGCCCACTGAATTACAGTTTCTAAGCGCAGCACACTTTGTGTATTCCAGGTTGGTGCTTGTCATAGACTGACATCAGTTGGAGAAACATCGGAAACCTAAGAGCACTAGACAGCTGTTTCGTAGTGGTATGGGAGTCTTCAGCAGTACGCACCCACGACCCTGTCAGGAGTCGAACCCTGGACCTTTAGGCTCCGTGGTCGGGACATTACCATTGAGTCACTGGATTGGAATCCAGTGGTCCATATTTCCTCCTTTAATCAGTTTATGATATGGCGCAACCTCCATCGAATGCCGTCATTGAGTGTCCATCCTCATATCCGACTTGATTGAGTCACAGGTCCGCACTTCTGAAGATTAGTCCTATACTAGGACGAAACATGTGTTGAATATTCTTCCAACTCGTGTCAGTCGATGATGAATACCAATCTGTAATCAATAAATAAATCCCCTTCCAGACAGTTTATGTAATTTGAGGGCTTTTGAAACGGTTTCCTTCTGTTCAATGCCATTTTTTTTCATTATAGTTACTGATTTATCTCGAATTCTTACTATATTGTTATATTTCTTTAAATAAATTAAACTTGTTATCAGGCTCGTCATGATTTGATAGTAGCTACAAGACGTCTGGCTCGTCTGTCAAAAGTAGAAAAAGCTGCAGTAGAAGCAGAAGCCAGTGTAAATATTGCCTTATCAAATGCATCTCAAACATTTGCCTCTAATCCTGTTATACCTATTAAGAAGGATATACAACTGGACAATGATAAATGTGAAAAAGAAGACTCAGATGAAAAATGTTCTCAATCTGGTCTACCATCAACATACTCTTCTCCTGAACTATCTAATGAACAAGATTCTCGACTTCAGCAATTATTAGCTAAACGTGAAGAATTTTTAAGAGATAATTTACTACGCGTAAGTTTATATATTTATTTTGAGGGAGTTGTGGAGATTTGGAATTATTTCAAGTTGTTATTCATCGTAGACTGACATCAGTTGGAGGAACAAAGGGAACCTGGGAGCACTGGACAGCTGTTTCGTCCTAGTATGGAACTCCTCGGCAGTGCGCACCCACGACCCCACCAGCAGGGATCGAACCCGCGACCTTCAGGTTCCGCGACCAGCGCGTTACCGTTGAGCCACTGGGTCAGAATCCAATGCTCCATATTCCCAACTTCTGTTAGCTCACGATATATAGCGCAACCGCCACCCAATGTCATCGCTGAGTATTTGTCCTCATGACCATCAGGCTTTGACTCCACCGGTCACGACTTGTCATTGGAACTTCGGGAATACTTCTCGAAACTAGTCACCAATGAGCACCAGTTCAATTAAATTTTGAGGGAGTTGTGGAGATTTGGAATTATTTCAAGTTGTTATTCATCGTAGACTGACATCAGTTGGAGGAACAAAGGAAACCGGTGGAGTCAAAGTCTGATGGCCATGAGGATAAATACTCAGCGACGACATTGGGTGGCGGTTGCGTTATATATTTATATCATGTGTACTCTTTTCTTTTGCAAAATTATCTTTTTATAGTTTATGCTGAAGCTAGATAATTTGATACAAATTTATTCAGAAACAGCTCATTAAAAAATAACATTGTATAGTAGTATTAGTAGTGGTGTGATGGGTACTACTGACAAGGATGCATATAAGTAGTATATGTTGAGAGGTTGGAAGGAGTTATAGGCTATTACAAGCGATGGATAAATATTCTGCTTAGAGAAACACAAAAGATGGTTTGGCCATATCAATAGGAGATGATGATGATGATGATAAACTTGGATATATTGTCCAAATTAATCTATCAATGGAAGGTTATAATATTTGATCGGTAATGTACAAAATTGTCGTAATAACAAAATAATCCTTCTAAGGTTCACCCTTTGACTCTTTTCCTTCAGTAATAGTGATACAAATTTATTCGTTTGAAATCGTGGTAATATTTTTCAATCAGTAATTCATGTGTTAAAACTCTTGCTCTGTTTAAGTAGTATCTCACTGAGCATAACACCATAGATGTAGCGCCTTCGTCTAAATGTATAAGGCTATTGTTTTTGTAGTATATCTAATATGCTCATGTATTAACATGTAACTAATGCTTAGTTGCATACTAGCGGTCACCGGGTTCAAATCCGATCACGGTCCAAATTTCCATTCCACCTTCAATCATCACCCAGTATAAGTACTAATCTACCAAACTACGGTTATCTCAGATAGTCAAAATGATAATCAATTTGATGCTCTCCCTCTCTAATTCAGTCACACTTGGATTGAGATGAGAAGTCCTGACTAGGCAGCCAGCGTAAATGCGATCAAACGATAGTGGTGCATTGCAAATTCAAATGGTAGTCGGGTAAAATCCGCCCTAATGATTGAATTGAAATAAAAATATGATCAGCAGTTGGACGAGTCGTAGCTCAGTTGGTAGAGGATTGGGCCGGAAACCCAGTAGTTGCTGGTCCGAATCCGGCCACGGTCCAAATCTTCATTTCACCTTCAATCATCACCCAGTATCAGTAGTAATATTCTACCAAACCACGCCTATCTCAAACAATCAAAACGATAATGCCTAGTTTCTGAGTGTGCTCAAAACTGGAGAATTTCAATCCAATTAATACGATACTGTTCTACATACATTGAACGAGTTATTGATTTGTATACCATAAAAAAGCTGCAATATCTGAAAATTTCCTTTATATAGTGAATTTGATCACATTTTAATATAAATCGGAAATTTGTTAAAAGTAAGAATGAACTTGGAAAGTGGTTTGTGTTTTGTTTTCTAATTTGTAACTCATACAATCACATGATGGTGCCTTAGAACTGTCAGTTCCAATGGGAAACATGTGACAATTTGAACCATTGTACCGTATTCACCGGGACACATTTTCCAATCTTCATGACAGTGTTAGACTCGAAATCCACTCAGCAACCTCCTGTGCGAAATTGTTCAGTAGGCGATGAGCCACATCTGTTATAGGACAGCTAATGACACTACCTACGATACCACCTCGGTAGATGCAGTAGTGTACGAATCCATGACCCACTTGTCTACTCCTTAAACCAATAATCCACAAATCTATATTTGAATTAGATCAATCCATCCAAATCAACATAGTACTAGGCATTACTGCGCAGCGGTCCGAGTTGCCACATCTCTTTTCAGTGCATCAAGTAGAAATGTACTGAGGTGAAAGATGATGATGAAAAAAGTCAGTCATAAGAAATATAAAGTACTAAAAGAGAGAAACGAAGAATGAGGAAATGTTGAGATTTGGCATGGCGTTAAGATGAGGATAATGTGTGTATACTTCTGCACCACTGACATCTGTTCTCAGCCATGTGATCACCTACAGTCTCCAACCACTGGTTCTTCTTGTCCCGTGGACCCCAACCACCCAGTCTGCATCGCCATACATGGCTCAAACCAACAGTCAAAGATTTCATACATTGATACCATGTTTTAGTCTGGCCATCTTAGGCCTTTTTGCAGCCCTGACCTACTTCAGCCAACATTGTGTGACGAGACAATCGGTGACTAGGCATACATAACACGTGTCGGAGCCAATCATCTCAGTCGATGAAGGTTCACAACCTTGTCAACTGAGTTCCCTCTTCTCCTAACTTCTGCATTACTCACATGGTGACACCACGGAATACGACGGCCTATACTACGAAGGCAACGGTGGTCAAACACATGAAGCCTTCTCATGTCCTCCACCTTCAATGGCCATATTTCACAGGTATACAGTAGGAGAAACCGGACTGCTGTGCAGTACACGCGACTCTTAATAGACAAACGGATATCACGGCGGCGCTATAGATGGAGCAAATTGGCAAAAGCCAACCAAGCCTTTTGTATCTGTGCATAGATTTCATTGGCAACTGACCCACCAATGCAGGGTTGATCCTACTTCCCAGGTGGTAGGTGAAGTGGTCGACATACTCAACCACTATACTATCTATTGTTAGCCGTGGTAGAGTTGAAGACCAATCCTGGAGCAGCAATTTGCATTTGGATGATGAGAAACGCATCTCAAGCATTCTCAAATTGCTACTCAAAGTGTTCATCAATCGACTTGCCTGTCGTCAACATTGCTCACATGTGGATTTCATCAAACACGAGAAATGTTACGAAGACCCTTGTGATCAAAACTCTGTAATTGCTTTCATATCTTATACTTTTAACACCTTTTTAGAATCTTGTCCAGAAGTATATCATTTCAAGTACCCACACATTGTCACAGCGAACCTAAATAAAGTAATGAGAGAAGCAGTTATAATATATTTAATTGAATGGAAATGTATTTGAAAAGAGATGAATGAATAAAGACTGGCAAAACTGTTGAAGATATTTAAAATGATAAAGAGTGTGATCAATTTTGATTCATGTTATTGATGATCCATAAGCATCTGGATCGCTAGTGATTCAGATATAGACAAATGCCTTGATCTTATTCCCTTCACATGGTTTGATCAAACCCTATAGAGGATTTTGAATGACCTCTCAAAATGAGCTAAGTGATTTGAGTTCACGAGGTGTGTTCCCTTATTGAACTGAAGATACGCTTCCATTCTATCTTTGTCAACCAGGCTGGATAGTGTTCGTGGGCACAGGATTAAGATCAAGGCATTTTTGTCTATAGTTGAAGCACTAGCGATCTAAAAGTTCAAAACAGCGTTATGCGTCCAAAAAACGTTACATCCAACCTTTACCATTTCTAACATCTTAATAACCCTGGTAAGGTTGCTCACACTTCGTTACACCGCTCATATCAACAGTCAAAGAAACTTAATAGATTGATCTTGCTAAACTTCTCCCTCTCTTTCTCTCTCAAATTCATTATGTATACTTATATAAAGCAGTTTGGTTGCTAACCAAAGTCCTCTTGTAAATTCTCGTGTATACACTTGTTTGTAGACTTTGATCGAAGCTCAGAATCAAAGCATAACTGTTTTTATCAAATAGCATTCTTATTGTAACATAAAATATGCATGTTGAAAAGATGCCTATGTTTTTTTCAGCATAATTAGTATCATCTTCCCTTTTAATGATATAGGGCATAAGTTTTAGTAATCACTGTTAAGTTTACTATTAAATAAATTTGAAGGAAACGAGAAGATGGAGACAAAGTAATGAATGTTTATTATTGAGGTATGGTACAGTAGTCATTAAATATGGTACACCTTGCACTAAGATAGTCATTTGTATAGTGTTCTTCATTTCATCGTCTGCTTATCTCTCTCTCTTTCTCTCTCGTCATCTGCGAGGGTCACCCTCTTCACGTTCATTTATATGAACATCAGTTGGCTATTAAACGTCACGTCATTTCATCATTCATTTCAACTCATATGGATAATTATGAACATGAATTCAATTCCGACAATGTAGAGATTTTGGACAGAGGAAACACAAAGAATATCAGAGAATTCTTAGAAACTTGGTATTCAGGTCAGTCAGTCAAAAATCAATAGATGTATAGACATAGACCCAATCTATCAACCAATAAGAGAAATGGTAAATGACAGAAAGGTCAGAGGTCAAGCAGAGGAACTGTCAACAGGAAAATCTGTACAGTCACTGACACAATAATCAAAGGAAACAACCAGTCACAAACCAGCTTGTCAGGACAAGCTACTAGATCACTTACGGAGAGATATTGACAGCTCACTTCATGCTGAAGTTAGTGTTGATGATGTCGTCCAGAAAGATGATGAAAGCTTCACGACTAAAGAACTCAGCTCAGAGTACACAATACAACCAAGAGTGTTCAAATTGTTTTTCAGTGAAGTAGCTTGTTAACCAAGTTGAACATGAGGACAGTCACTCAACGACGACACTGGATGGAGGTCGCACTGTATCGTGAATTGACGGAAGTGGTAAATATGGAACAGTAGAATCCGACCTAGTGGCTCAATGGTAACGTGGTGGCCGCAGAGCCTGAAGGTCCTGAGTTCGATCCCAGGCATGTTGATAGGTGCGCACTGCTGAGGAGTCCCGTACTGATACGAAACAGTTACCCAATGCTCTTAGGTTCCTAATGTTTCTCCATCCGATGTCACTCCATGATAAATGTCAACCTGAAGTAGCTTGTACCGAAAATATCTAGCTGAATTGCTCTGGGGCATGAAATTACGATAGCAAAACTGTACAAGGAATGTCAATAAACTGAACATTTTTTGTAGTTTACTTGGTGGTGATTATGCTTATCAGTGGAATGCGGGATGTCGGTTTCGTCCTATTTGAGACTCATCACCTGGATGTAGTTCCACCTTAGTAGGTGATTGTATTCCCATTGGAACTCGAACTTAGTACCCATCACTTCAAACACCAAAGCGTTACCATTCACTAAAATATGGGTATATCTGACTGACGAGTCCTAGATATGACGAAAAGGCGCCTCCTGTATTTCACTGTTAGGCACTGTCAAAGAAACTACATCATAATAAATATTTAAATGGTAACGAGGGATCCGCGTGGGAATCCATCTGGTAACAGAAGTCGAGGAATTGGTCCCAGTATGACAACAGAAATTACATGTATCACAATGAACAACAACTGAACTTTTTATTTTCATTAGCTTTCTAAACAAGTTGACATGAATGTATATTTATTCTTTTCTTTTTTTTGTCTAACGAAAATCACAGAAACGTGCTGAAGTATTGAGATCCCAAATTTACAATCGTTCAATACTCCACAATTCAAATCATCATTGAAGAGTTTCTAGAGAATAGAGAACGAACGTCTTCAAGTCACTCCTCCGATGTATTCTGACCTTTATTATTTTCTTTATTCATAAAAATGTTTGTACAGTTCAGAAGAAAAAAAAGAAGAAAAATCTACGCATTAAAACAATTAATGATATATTTTTTTTCTCGATTACTGAAGTATTGAGGATATAATCTATGTATATAAGTGCTTATTTTCTGATAGAACTAGTTTCATTAACGTGACTTGAAAATGTTATACCCAGCAAAGAATTAGAATTAAGTTCAATAGATAAAACACTTGATGATGAGGTACGTACACACTAGAACACCATAAGAAAGGGAGAAAGAACTTAACGAGACCAGAAGTATTGTGGATGACAAATTGAAGACATGACAACAGTATAGTAGTAACTGCTGAATCTGATAAAGGTAACTCGACAGTAGTTATGGATAAGGCGGATTACTTGAAAAAAGTCAATGAACATATCGAAAGAGGACCATATGTGTAAATTAGAAAAGAAGAGATAATTGGGGGAAGGAAATTAACTTTTTCCACTATATTATTATCTGAAGCTGTACAATCATGTTATTATATATATATATATATATATATATATATATATTTGTCCCTTGAGTTCCTAGAGAAACATAGAGCTTCAGTAGCACATCGCCATTTCACTCTCTCCTCTACAGTCTCCTTAACCTGGCTCCACGACTACTCACAAGCTTTCATTTCTTCCTCACACCATCTCCTCCATGTCACCATCACTTCAGACGCTCAACTCATCGTTTCCCCTTCGGGTTCCACTCGAGGACCTGACAAGGTGCATGATGTCTCCAAACGGTCTTCTCAGTGTATGTCCAACCGAATCCATCTCCACTTTCCTCTTCTGCATATTTGTTGAGTGATGCCTTCTTGGTTGATTCATTGCCAGCCAGCCAGCCATCCATCCATCCAGACTGAGTTCTTCGTTGCTTATTCGTATTATTCTGGCCATCCATGTGATCTTCAGTATCGTATCAGAATCGAGTGAGCGTATGCGGCAGCTGTTCACTGTGTGTCTGTAGTTTGTTGGGGATGCTTTAGGTAACGCGGTGCCAAGTCTCTCAACTATCACAGAGAAGCACTGACTTACTTGAGTGAATTGGTGTTGAGAATCGGGATGCTTTTCACACTTTATGCTGAATGCAGTGCAGTGGAGTGGAGTGGAGTGCAGTAGATCTCCACAGTGATTTCAGGTTAATGAAGGAATGCCTGTGTTGGTGTCTTTCGGATCCTTGCTGCTTTGATGTCGTCATCTGTGGCTGTGCTGCCTGTAGTTGAAACGATGGTGCCTAGATAGGTGAAGGAGACTACTTCGTTTAGGTTTCTTCAGTTGGTGGTGATTGGTGCTTGTTGTTGTTGGTTGTGTATCTTCATCACTTGTGTCTTCTCTATGTTCACCTGGATGAAGTCCCGTGTTCGCTGCCTCTTCTGTCAACTTGTTGATCTCTATTAGTAAACAATAGTGTATTATTGCGTCATTAACCTAGTGCTAAAAAGCCGGAATCAAGAATGTAAAGTAGTTGTGTAGTAATCCAAGACAGTGGAAATAACGAGGAAGGCAAGCAGTTTGACAAGATGAAAATTGTTTTTAGATAAGAAATGCAAATATTGAGTGTCCACTGATAGATAGATAGATAGATGTAAAGAAGGTGAAGAATGAGACAAAGGTCATAACGAAGATGATAATAATAAACTAACTAATTATAATGAAATAGAAAAATTGTGTTAAGACCATGGTAAGATAAGAGACTGAACATACTTCTTTAGCACACAGAGATCAGATTTGAATTGATAAATTACCCATGCTTCCGCTTATGTACAACTGTCGAAGGCGTACTCCTTTTGAACTATTCCATTTGACGCGATAAATGACACTGAAGGAGGATTCTGGTCCAGCTATATGTCCAGAGTTGACCAGATGTTCAAGAATTGAACTGTCAATTGACTTACATTCTCCGCTCGACAACTATGCAAGATAGTGCCCAGAGATACGTTTGGAAAGTGTTCACTTTGTGCACCCTATATAAAACTAGCTCCACAGCAGCAAATAAATTTGTAGACACACATTGTGGTGGCCCAAAGCGACAACTTTTCCTTGATGTACTCTAAAATTAGTTGCTGACTAGAGAAGCTGATTCTTTTTTAGCACTAGTTTAATGATGCAATTATACACTATTGTTTAGTAATAGACTGTTATATTGTTTATATATATTACTACGATTGTACAGCTTTAGAGAATGATATCGAAAAAGTAAATTTTCTTCGCTGAATTATCTCTTCTTTTCTCTACCACTCAATTGGCATATTCCGTCGTCTGTAATTAAAAAACCCTTAGTCATAGTTACAAATAAGATTAGAAAGTCCACAGTTGGTCTCATTCACCGTATGAAGCCATCTCTGGGTGAGTCGCAGTGGTTTAATTCATCGCTTACAACTAATGGTCCTGGTGAACTGCATGATACCGTTAAGGTTTATGAAACAGATTATCCGAATAGGCCAATAGTTGACTTAAGAATCACACTAACATATGAGTTATGTAAGCATTTAGCTACAATACTATGTCCCATTAAAAATCGCTCAAAATCTAGGTTTACCAATCCATTGGAATTGAAATACAATTAGAGGAGAGAGAAAAGGTGATCAATTTTGATGTAATGAACAAATACATCAATTAATTTGGTTCTTGAGGCAGTTAGAAATGTATTCACAACTACTGACCATGAACTCAGTAATAGAACTAAAATTTCTATTGATGAAATAATGCTAGGGATAAGGCTACGTTTAACTTCCACAGTTTTAAAATTTCAAGACAAAATGTATAAACAAACAGAAGGAGTAGCGATGGGATCTTCAATATCCCTGATTACAGGAGACATTTATGAACAGTTGAGAATAAATGGCGTTAGGAACATCCCAGCCCACCCCAAATGTATGATGGCGATATGTCGATGACACATTTACTGTGCCCTAATCAGAACATATCCAGTTTTTTCGCATACACTAGCTCGATAGTAGACGCAATCCGAGCCACTTATGAATTCGAAAATGAAGAAGGAGAATCACTTTTGTTGGATTGCAAAATGAAGATTGAAGCTTAGATACCAATGTTTATAGGAAACCGACGCATTCAAATAGATACTTGGATTTCACATTGTCTCACCCCATTCCTCTCAAAGTAGGTTTGATAAAATGTCTAAGTAATCGGGCAAGGAGTTTGACTAGTATGTCGGAAAGTCTAAATAAAGGACCGGAACACACCATAGATACACTACTACTTAATGACTACCATTCAGAATTCTCTAAGAAATTATAAGGACTGAAGTGTTAGTGATGAATGCAGGATATCTAAGAAGAAATTCAAATCCTCTATAGTGTTGCTGTATAAAGAAGGCATGCTGGGAAATTTTACGTAGAATTCTTAACAATCATGAGATTAGGGTGTGGCATTTAAACCCACAAACTCACTCAGAGAGAAACTTTTCAGGCTAAAAGATTCAATTAAGAAAAATAGCCTAGTCTGTCAAATACTATGTAATGATTGTGAAGCCAAGCAACCGATCTAGGTTAGTCAGAATAGCAGAACTCAAAAAATTTAACGAAATATACAATGATAGATCCTACTAATTTAGAGGAAAACTCAACTATCGATCTATATTCACTAACATATAATCACATTATAGGGTGACAATTCTAAAATCGAATGTAGCTAGGTGGAACAATAGATTGATTACACTTTCATTGTTCATTGAAACAACATTTAAAATATTGGAAATTTTACTACCATTAAAATAAATTAATGAATTGTTGGACTATTAAAGTGAAGTTTGAAAGTTGTAGAATTATTTTGATATGAATATGAGTGATGAATTCTACTCTAAACATCATCCAGTAAGTAGTACTGCTGCATCACTGTATACCAGATCATATAAACAATATAATATCGAAGAGCTAGTTTCACCTAAATACATGTACTCAATTATGGTTAAATTTAGGGGCTTTCTGACGTAGGCAAAGAAAGACTGATTGATTGAAGAAATATATTCCTTTTCAATTAGGTCTTCATCTTGGGCTCTCTACACTTAGTGTAGTTAATCAAATTACCAATCTTATGGTGATGTTTTAGAAATAATGAATAGAATTACTGAAATTGCAAATATGAATATTGATAGAAATAAGAAGGGGAAGAGATGTACAAAATAAACCTAGAAGTTACATCATATTGACGGCCACGGTAATGAAAGTGGTCGAACAAACTTCTTTTGGATACAAAGAATAAGTTTGTGAAGGTGGATTGCAATCGCTTCTGCTGTGTTAAGTAATCGAGTGCGTAATCCACAAAGCAAACTAATTGGAATCTGATGGATGATTCTGAATGCTTTTTTAACAACCCTTGATGTCTTGTGTCAACTAAGTGTGCAAGTATGGAGCTCTTTATAGTTCTAATTTGTCCCTTGTTCAACCATGATGGGTGGTGCTCAGAAATCCGATGATAGAACTGCCTCATTGTACGCTCAATGTAACTCGCTCCACAGGAGCAGTTTAACTGATAAATGCACATAGAAGTGGCAGAATCAGGCAGTTTGTCTTTATTTCTTGCACCTAGAATCAGGCGGTTGTAGAAGGTGGGATATAATTTATTGGCTAGGAATGCTTTATGCAAGACTCTTTTTATGCGTTATGTGGTGATCTCACTGGCATTATCACTCTTAAATTGCAGCTTCAAGAAGATTTGCTTCTTAGGAACTGTTGGCATTGTTTTCTTAACCCTCGTAATATTCATGTGCTTAGTTGCAAACTTGTCTAGGTAGCCATTCCTACTAAGGAGATCACGGATTGTGGCGCACTCTTCCTTTATAGCATCCTCTGAGCAAATACCTGAGGTGCGGTATGCTAAGCATTTCACTAGGTCCCTTTTGTACTGGAGGGGTACAGCACTAAAAAAGTGCGTATATTGACCTGT